GAAATACTTCCGTATCGATTATTTTATGCGTTGGTCTTGCCACTGATGCCATGTAGTTTATTTCGTTAAGCTGTCTATTCCTTCGAGAGCACTAATTTTTTTCTCAAACTAAGGGCATATGTAACTGTCAGAATCTACTATGATCGTGAAGCACCATGAATTCTTCCGGTTTGTTCTTATCGTCGCTTCAACACTTCCCACTGGCATAAAGCTTGTACCTGCGTTCACATGCACATACATGGAATATTTTTTTAAAAACGCCAGTCTGACTTACCGTTCTTGCAATCAGAGAATTGGTGTTTATACGATATACTTGTTCCTGAGGCGCGGGTCTATTTTCATAAATCTAATTTATTGAGTCAATTAATGCAATATTTAATGCGTATGCCCAAAGCTCGCGACGATAGTACTAAATTGAATATTAATTCCTGTCAAAATGCTAATTCGCTACTGATGTTGCAGTAGCGAATGATAGCCCATGCCCATTGATAAATTCTTACATTAATGCATTTTTTATGTGAAAATTTAACGCCAATTTAATTTTATATTATTTTTCATTGTTGTGTTTAATAATTTGATCCATTGTTTTTAACTCGATCATCCATAGATGCACCTATGCAATGGCTTGACTCTAGGGGACACGAGCTTCTTGGTCTCTTGCAGCAAGCTGCGATGATTTACCAGCGTTCACGCACTCGCACGAATGAGTTAGCTCTTAAGCGAGCTGAGGATAGATTTTCTGACATCAACGAGGACTGCAAGAGACGCTGGCTGGCTAAAATCAATCGAGAAATTGATAGTGTCATTGAATGTCGTCTTCCTGGAGGTGAGCAAGTATGCATCATTATACAATAGTTTCGATTCAGCGACACTTTCAGAATGGCTCAGCTTCCCTAGGCAAAACGCATGTTTTTAGCATTGAAATTATATTTTTTTACTCGAAATCTAACTTCTCTATACCATATTTCTTGGCTACTTATCTACCGAATTTTATACTTTTGATTTAATCACTTGTATAGTCTACACAACTCAGATTATTACTGTTTGACTAAATGTCTTGCTAGCCGAATTCTCTGACTTATGGGGCTTTAAAAGTATTGAAATATATGAACTATTTTTTTGTCATACTAATCATTTTTATTTTTATTTTTAGATCGTGATATTCGAAGGAGGCGCTGATAATCTCATTATTCATTTGTTATTTATTCTTAACTTGTAAATAATTTTACTTTAACTTTCTCCTGAATCCTTTTTTAACTCACTACATTAAAAGAGCTCTCCTTTTTTTCTCCATTCGAAAGCACCACTATTGTTACAAATGTCTTCTAATCCCCCTATTTATTAACTTAGCCATCAACTCTACAAAGCCAACCTTTTGGGTTATTCTTAAATAAGATTATAACCAGTTGCAAATATGACACCTCGCCTTCATTCGTCGTTACTATTTTTCATGTAGAGCAGCAGAGTGATACATTTAGGCTCCTGTAATATTCTGTAATTCGCTCGAATGCGAACAAGGTTGGCATTCCAAAGCTGCCTTCCAATACTCATTTGAATTATAAATAGTTTACAAGTGTGGATGCGATGAGTCTCTTGCTCTCTTTTCATATTTTCAGTAGGACTTTTGTCGTAGTTCTATTGATTAGCTGGGCTGGATTGTGTAGAATGTCAAGATAAATATTATACGGGAAGAAAAGAATAATGATGGGATAAGTCTCTTCGAATTCCTGTATGATTAATTCTGCCTTATCATACATTACATGCACTCCAATGATTACCTATTATGAGGTAAAATATAGTGAGCGCTTGCTCCAGGCACCAGATTCAACGTCTGTGTTTTTTGTTAATGCGTTGTCGCTAGATGCATTAGAAGAGATATTGCATTTTGGGTCAGTTTATGTTGCCGACTCCAAAATTACAGGTTTGTGTCGACGACGGCTGGGTCGCTTCCTTCGCGCTCGCACTTGGGTGCCAAATACTTCGTCATCAGTAGGCATCCTATGAATTTTCCAACGGATGCCATTTCCCCTAATCCGATGATTTCAGACTAGTGCTTCCTGTTGGGCTTACTTCGATTTCGAGTAAAATGTTTGGTGAAGAGATTCGAAGGTCAATTCCACCAGAAGACGACGGCGAATTCCTCTTGACCGGCTGTCGATTGGCTTTACTGGAAGATTCATGCTG